TGTTGGCCTGGTCAGTGGTTTGGAGCAGGCAGGTTGGGTTTAGCCGGTGGGGACTTGGAGGAACCGGCTTGGCCATGCTGCTGGCCACAGTGGGAGGGCCACGCACCCGGGGCTGCCTTCCCCCTCACTGCTCAGCCACGGCTCTCGCCCCGGCAGGCTTGGGACATCACCAAGCAGACCTTCGCCTACACCAACCACACGGTGCTCCCCGAAGCCCTGGAGCGCTGGCCGGTGGACCTGGTGGAGAAGCTGCTCCCCAGGCACCTGCAGATCATCTACGAGATCAACCAGAGACACCTGGATGTAAGTGCGGTGGGGCGGCCCAGGAGCTCTCTCCGGAGAGAGGAACGGGGCTGGCACGCGCCGTGTCATCGGGATTCGGGGGACGCACAGACCGGTGATGCTGGGTGTGTGGCCGGGTGGTTCTGGTGGCTATCTCAGGAGGTTGGTGGGTAGGAAAGCCCTTCCCACCGGTCTATCGCCACCCCACAGTTAGGGGTTGTTTTAAAGGCTTCCTCCATTGCTCCAGGGACCTGCCTGCTGGCATTTGCTTTGCTCCCTAAGCGCTAAATTCATCGCGAGGAAGGATGAGGTTGGGGGTACAAGGGAGATGGTGGTTTGGCCTCCTGCTCTGGGAGCACGAGGCTTTCACCGAAACGTCCCCGCCGGCCAAGGATGTGGGGGTCTGGGTGGGGGTCCTTCTGCCCAGAGATGTCCACGGTGGGGAAGGGCATCCCTTGGAGGGGGTTTGCACCGTCGCTCTGGAGTAAAAGCCACCGCTCTGGCTGGTGTTGAATGCACCGGGGACATCGCTGTGGCCCCCTCCTCGGGAGCCATCAGGTGGGACATCCCTAAACGCCGCTCACCTCCTCCCCGGCCTCCACCGGCAGCACATCGCGTCCCTCTTCCCTAACGACGTGGACCGGCTGCGGAGGATGTCCCTGATAGAGGAGGGAGGCACCAAGAGGATCAACATGGCCCACCTCTGCATCGTCGGCTCCCACGCTGTCAACGGCGTGGCCAAGATCCACTCCGAGATCGTCAAGACTCAAGTGTAAGTGCGCGGGGGAGGGAGGCGGTGGTGGATCACCCCCGGCTCGGAAATGGTTGGCGGTGGCAGGTCCCAGCTGAAGCTGTCCCCTCCTCATCCTCGCAGCTTCAAGGACTTTGCGTCGCTGGAGCCGGAGAAGTTTCAGAACAAGACCAACGGCATCACCCCGCGGCGCTGGCTCCTGCTCCGCAACCCCGGGCTG